GAATGTGCTTTTGAAAAGCTTCAGCGAGTTATGTTACAAATTCACATTCTAATTGCTTTTGAATGTGCTTTTAAAAAGTATTCAAATGATATTTGACTTTTTAAATGTCAGATTGTGCTTTTAAAACATTAAATGTTGTAAATCTAAATAGACCGTCAAGTGAAAAACAAATGGTAAAACATAACTTTGTATTTCTATATTTTGCTTACTTTTTATTATAGATACTTGCATTTTTTTAATATTATAGATCCTTATACTTTTATTTTTTAATGTTTTGTGTCCCTCTAAAATCTCTACACTTTATTTATGGAAGGACTTAAAATATCAAAAAATAAAAGTATAGGGACCTAAAACATCAAAAAAAAATATAAGGATTAATAGCCAAATGCGAGAAAAATGCAATTACCTAAAGTTATGTGTTCCCAAAATAAATTTTAAATTTTGAAAGAGATTAAAAAATTATAAATGATAAGATTATCCAAAGATCATAAAAATAATATAGTTTATAATACCTCTCAATTAAAAATAATAGGCAAAAAATAAATATTATTCAGAAAAAATATTTAAAAATGACATACGTTTGGGCTGGGCATCGGCAAGGGTCAATGTGTCCAAATGGCTTAGGCAGAGTCAAGCTAATTGAGCTTTCGAGCAATTTGAATAGTCTTATTTGAAATATGGTTGAATATTAAATGTCAACATATCTTTCAATGAAGATTTGAACTTTAATTCACCTCATTTTAAAAATCTAGCCTCTTAAACTCAATTCCCATTTGTCATTTTCTAGCATTTAACTTGTCAATTGGAATATTTTTATGCAGTTTTTTTTTCACATCCTACAGTGCCACTTTTAATACACCTCCTAATCTTAATTATAGGATAAAATAAATCAACTTCATGGTTATTAAGAAAAAATAATTGATATATTTTAAGAAAAAGAGTTTAAGGTGAATAAATAAAAAAAGTTATCTATATAAATTATCAAAGTTATTAGATAGCTAAAATGTAAGAAAAAATAATCATAATTAACTAGAAAAAAGTTATTTCTGAGCTAAACATTTGGATCCCATTTATTATTATATTCTTTAATAAAGAGTAAAATAATATAAAAATAATTAATGCTTTATTAAAATTTTATGATAACAATTATTTTGAGAATAGAAGGAGCATGGTTTTTACTTGGGTAAATGTGCAAATTTAACTTAAATTCTTTTTTGAAGAGCATTTGGTATCTTATACTATAAGATGGTGTAAAATAAATCATTAAATATTAAAAACAAAATATTTAATACTTCCTATTAAATTTGAATGGACAGACTTTTATTTCCCATGTTGGGCCTACTAAATTTTCATAGATGGCACTCCTTTCATTTGAATGTTGGATATGTGGGTGTAAGTAAATTCTTCATCCTTAATAAAGAAATAACTCCCAACCTACCACTCGCGTGTCAAAGATGCAAGGACCAACTTCATCTTGAGTTAGAGTGGGAAGACAGAAGGAGCAAAAGCACCAATCAGAGGAAGTCTTCCATGCAGAGCACAAATGTTATGGCTGAATTAGGTTCATCTTCTATCATAACTAGTAGACAATAAGTTTTGCTATCAAAGATTTATGGGTAGAGACCTCCTTAATATAGACAAGCTATATGAGTTAAATTGCAAGTTGAGAAGTAAAGACATCAGTAGAGGCTTGGGTGCAAAGCTTGGTTTTGTTTATTTTGATTGATGAAGATGGAGAGAAGGTTAGTAAAGAAGAAAAGTGAAGTTGCCACTGAGAGGGAGAAGGCAAAAATGGCAATGGCAGTGCTAGCTCTGTTATGGGTTTTTGTTTGTCCTTTATAAAGTTATTACTTTCCAATTTATGTAATTGAAATCAGAGGGATATGAAGGTCATGATTTTATCAATTTGTGGCCTCTCTATTTGCTTAACTCTAAGCATTTCTCTTTAACACTACATGTCACTATGAAAATCTAACTATACATATAGATGATTTCTCTTAAATTGTTAGATTTTGCCCAAAAATGAGAGGCTAAAGTGTGATTGTGTCTTGGAAACAAAGATGTATATAAATAAGAAAAAAAATCATCTCAGTGAATAAAATAGAAATAACCATTAGCCAAGTCAATGGAAGTTTGAAGGCATTCCAACACCATTACATAAAACATTCCTATCATCCACAAAATAGAGGCCTAAAGGCATTTTAAGTTTATAGAGCTAGTGGCAAGTTAGATTTATTCAGGTTGGATTTAAAATATCATACTCTTTACAAAAAATCCATATGATCAAACTCGACCTTAACTTTTTTTGAGCAGGTTTGGGCTAGCTTGCCAGGTTTGACCTGAATTACCAACTCTACATATATAGAGCCAGTAATTTTAACGATCAGACTTATTTGTATTAGGCTTAAAATATTATATTTTTTTAAAAAAAAGGCCCATACAACCAATCAAAGCCTTAACTTTGTGCAAGCGGGTTTAGGCTGGTTCGTTAGAATTACCATCTCTACAAGTTTCATACACTATCACAAATTAGAAGCTCAAAGGCTTCATTGTCATCCTAAAATCCTAATATCATAAAATAAAAGCCCTAAGAGCACAAGAATCATCCAATAATAAAGCTACAAGTTTTGAAAATAACAACTACAAAATGATTAAGTTACATAAAGTCTAAAATTAAAGCCCGAAGGCCATAAAAGAGAAGTCCCAATAACACAACTACTATGATGGATGCTTTCTGGTCTTAACATATAATTGTGCTTGTAATTGTGAAGTTGTGATGGCTAGTTATTCATTCCACATGAGTCCTCATGAGGCGTATAGAAAATTAGAGGGTTGTGACATACTTAATCCCTTATTAGAAAATGTTATCTTCCTAGAGGCAATTGCTACATTAGAACTTTATAGAGTGCTCTTACTGATTTTTTTGATTTCTTCCTATTAGGGATAGCAAATCTGGTTTTATGGATCAATATAATGCTCCATATACTTAACAATTGTTCTAAAAAAAAAGGCTAAAGCCTATCTTCCTCCACAAGCCCATCATCATCCAAGCCTAACTCAGACTCACTTGTCTCCTCTTTACTTTCGTCTAAGTAGTTCTTGTAGTTACTATCTTCAGAGCTTCCTCTATCACTCTTTTTTTCCTCACTACCATCACTCTTACTCTAATCTAAAGCATCCTCCTTACCACTGTGGTCATCATTCTCACAATTATCATGTCCAATTCTAATGTATGACTTATTCAATCAACTTACTTACTATATCTACATTGATATTATCATTTCTCTCAACTTTAGTATATTGGCCTTCTATACCAGTATATGACTCCTGAATCCATTTCTCTACATCTATGGTATCATCCTTGGTGGCCTTATTCTTACTCTCATGCACTTCTCTAACATTAAATTCTATTTACTTGACTCTACAACCTTCATTACCTATACCCAATTGACCCAAGTAATTAGACGCGTCACCACCCTCAACCTTTTAACCCACATTATCAAAATCATCAATAAGACCCAATCTAACCTTAGTTTTTTCAATTACCTTCTTAGCTCTTTTATATGAAGACAATACAAAAAAGAGGGGTATGGTCATTCAAGCACAGAGTCCAATCTATCACTTGCTTCATCACTACTAGCCTCACGTTTGAACATCTCGAAGGCTTATCAACAATTTCATTCTACAAATACAATAATCAATAGTTAGATGGAGGGCTTAAGTGCAATGTTACAGTGTAAAGAAGTTATTACCTTTAAGGTGTGTTTAGATTTTAGCTTAAGATTCTTCCTTTTATTCAAATATATAGAGCTTTACTTCGTCTTTTGTACCATCTTGTATGTACTAAAGGAATCTTCAGGCATATGTGACCTACTTCAAAGGAGGCTTGCTATTTTACCCCTTGTGTCTTCTTGCTAATGGCTCGCAATTATGGTTGGGTTAGGGTAAGATTTTCACAATTAAGCTTACTCATGTTGAATGACTAAGTGAACTCAAGCTCGCTGAATGGTTAGGTAAGGTTAGGGTTTTCGTGAGCCCTCTAATGCCTCCTTGCCCATTGGTCTTTTGCCTCAACCACGTAGACATCGAGTGGATTAAAATTCACCACATGTATAGCCACATAGACAAAGCTTCAATCAAAACAACACATTTAGCTAGTCAACTAACATTCTCCATTTAAAATTAATGAAAGGTGTTGGGTGCTCCATTTTTAATAGTTAATGATTTATTTTATATTAACCTATAATATAAGATACCAGATATTCCTCAAAAAATAGTTCATTGTTACATTTGCGCCTTTTATTCCTTCTAGTTTTCATATAGTTAAGGTTGAGCTTTGGTAGATCTTAATTGGGCTTGCTATTTAGATTGAAATGGCATTTGGTCTAGCATTTTTGGCTCATGGCCTAGAGCAAATGGGCCAAATTTTGGACTGAATTGGCTAATTAGTATAGAATCTTTTGGACAACGACCTCATGTCAAAACCAACCAAAGCCACCAACAAGGGATTGGGTCTAATAAAAAAAGCTAGTCAGAGGTGAGCATCAATTAGTTTGATTCAATTCAATGTCAAAATGTATAAAATTGATCAATCAAATAACATTAAAAATATGAACCAAATCAAACCGAATAAGGCAATCAAACTGAACAAGGACCCAATTAAAATTTGACAATTCAATTTGATCAGTTAATTCAGCTTTAAGCTTTATGTTGGGCTGCTTGGGCTTGGGACACTTTTGCTATTTTTCTACTAAAATAGACGAAGCTTATATATGAAATTGAGATTGTAAAGTAATAATAGCCCATTCTAATAAAGGGTTAGGGTTTGACCTTATCAGATTATATATTTACTTTTATTTAAGTATAAAATTAAAAAAATAAAGTAATTAATAAACTAAATATAATTTATAAATTAATAAATTTTATATATGATAATTCGATTAGTTCGATCTATTCGATCTTAATTTTTATTAATAGAATTGAACCAATCAACCAAAACATTTTAAAAAAAAAAACCAAATCAAATAATAAATATTCAATTTGACTTTCAATTTTGTTCACCCCCAAAGTTAGTTTTTCACAATATAACAAACCAAAGTTTGAATCCTCATTGTAAAAAGTGCCTATATTTAGAACGTAATAGTGCCTTGAACAAGATCATCTTCAATAGGAGGATATTTGTATATTAAAACAAAACAACCAAAGCTAATATTCATAAATATTTTGCTGAGCCTCCCACCAATGAGGAGCACATAGCCGTCCCTCCCTCCTTGATTTGATTGAGCTCCGGGGAAGAGTGAGATCAGCTAAATGTTAATTCCATCAATATGTAGTAAACTAATTCTGTATGTAAATTCTGTCCTGCTGTGTGATCTTCTCGGGATGGAAATTGCTGCAGCTGAGAAAGTAGGAGTTGGATAGCAATATGCAGTTTGTACTGTAGTATTTTGATATACAGTACACATTGAAGTATAGGATCTATGGTCTGTGAATTTGTCCCTAAAAAAAAAAAATCTGTATGTAAATTTTTATTTATTTTAATCCTTTAATTAGTTCAAATTTTCTTTAGAGTTCATCATGGATTGACTAAATGTGAATTCTCTCTATTTAATAAATAACCACATAACAATAATAAGCTTAGGTGGAATCAATTACATGATTACATGATGTTATCTTGCTCCACTAACAACCAATTTTTTTGGACACATCGTTAATCAAAAGGTAAACAAACACATAAGTTCAGAAAATAATACGTTATAAAAATTTATATAGAAATATAGAGAGAGGGGGGGCGCATATTTCTGTGGAGCCGATAATGACCCAAAAAAAAAAAAAAAAACCAGGAACAGAGAGAGAGAGAGAGATAAAGAGTTATACACGGCACCTGGAAGGTCGAGGATTGGTTTTGTTGCCCCAGTCTGGTCTGAGAGTCTCCCGCATAGTCTGTCATACTCCATACAGATCCAATTAGTAAATCCAATCACTGTTTTTTTCAGTCATTTGGACATTTCTACAGAGTTTGATAGTGGCTGCTTCTGCGAAAACGCGGTTTTCCGTGTTCCCAAGGCATTACAAACAGGCGCTTCCACAATTCAAAAGGAGCTGGTGCAGGAGTATTCCAGGTTCATGCGTTTGATTTCTTCACCTCCAAATTTCTAACGAAAAAGAACAAACCATACTTCAACAAAATCAACGATTGTACATTATAACCTTGAATAAGACATGAAGTTGATGCTACAATAATTACTTTCCTCGTCTTTCTATCACTTCTTCCCTTTTCTCTTCCTCTGTCAATATGCATTATAATTATATACAACCTTGAAATACGATGCAAAAAAGACCATCTAGTGAGAACTAGGACAAAGACCAAAGTTCATGATGTTGATACAGTGACCGAAGACCCTACTAGAAACAGGGGAACAATATTGTACTAGCAATTGGTTCATTGGAAAAGATTTCTAAACCCATCGAAAATTCGTAGGGCTCTCAATCCACCAGTCCTCATATCCCTCAGCCTGCTTCGCAGTATCTGCATGCAGCAATAAAAGCAATAAGCTATCAGCAAGAGGAGTTAACATCTATCTATTCCATTATAAATGTGGACAATGCCACTTATGAGAAAGTAAGTTCAAAACAATGGATTACGTTCGTTGCTCTCCAATTTTTCTCCAATTTATATAGCTTTTAAACACCAACTAGAAAGGTGAGCCCTTTGCACATTATGGAGCTTTAAAAATGACTTGCATTATTCATGACCTATGAATAATGCTGCTTGTTATAAATTTATATTTCATATTGATATTGATTTTAAAAAAACATGTATAACATTTTCACTTTTTGTATTAGTTTAGGGGTTGAATGTCACGTTTTGACATTCGTAGGCAAATTTGTAAGTAGACTATAGTGTGATAAGACTTACTTTCTCCTTCCTACATCTATTTCATATTTTTATCTTTATTTTCCTTTGACCGCAATTCATGCAGTCATTTTGTGATCGTGAGGAATTCAGATTGATGAAGTTATGGGATTAAGATCAGTACTGGAGGGGGGAAAAAAAGACAGATATATGCATGCACTGTGGCATGGTAGGGGAAAAAGTGTTTATCTGCCTAACTTAGCATAATGTGCTTTAGATTCTTACATATTGAGCACGAAATAGTATTCTTTGCTCGCTAATGCACAAGTCCACAGCTAGTTGTTTCAAAAAGAGTCGTCGATTGAGTAGCTTTGGAGAAGTCACGTCCAAGTCAAGTGATCCACTTTCCTGTGAGAACCATATAAGCACTTGATGAGGTATCTTGTTAAGCAGAGAAGGCTGAGCTTACCACGTAGAGACTGATAAATTCTGGTCTTTCAAAGCTATATATTCTGTAAGAAAAATAAAATGGAAGTTCTTCGATCTATAGTTTACTTGCCTGTAAAAATTTTTTGTACTTTGATATGCTGGATTCACAGCTGTCTAGTACAAATTGCAATGCTTGCTCTTCTATTTCTGGATATTTCAAATCCTTCTTTACAGTTGTTTTATTTGATGCTGCAGCGGCCATCTGTCCAAAAGAGTCACCCGCTATGTTAAGTGACAGTTACAGATTGGTTTAGAAATTTAGTAAGCGCCAGACCTCTTCAAATTGGCCTCTCATGCTTGGAGGGCTCACAGCTAAATAGGCATATGCCATTAACTCCAACGGCCAACCAGTAACTTTTACAGGGAAGCACTGTGATCTGTTAAAATTGAACATAATTAGCAAGTAAGAAGTTCAATTAGAAGTATAATCATTTCAGAGAAGGACACTCAAGAAATTAAATCCCTTATCTCCTGAAATGCTGCTGAAACAAGACTCTTGTGCAATTTTACAGTGCAGAACAGATGTTTTGGAAATGTCTCTTGAAATGCTAGGCAAATCTATCAATTATGCTAAAATAAAGCAGATGGCGAGTGAGTGCACTTTCAAGAGCTTATGTGTGCAGTGAAAAAGTTTTAATCACAACAGAATACAAAAGACATTTCTTTGAGAATCTTATGAAATATGAACTTTTGGGGACTCACGCTGACAGCCCATTTTTCTTCAAGAGTTGTGACTTCTCATCGTAGCATTTATCAGACTTCTTGAGTGACAATAATAACTCAGCTGAATCACTAGCATTAGTGCCTTCCTTTGGAACGAATCCATAAGATAGCAAAAGCTCTCCGTTAGATTTCTTGCCGTATGAAATAAACACCTGAGTAGAGTGATGTGAGCAATAAATCACGAGACCTCAAAAATTGAATAGTAAACTTATTAAGAGCTGAGATTCATGGGGAAGAATACCATCTATGAAACCAAGCTTCAATTGACTATTACCTGATCTTTCAGAGGATGAATTAAAATCTTTAAGAGCAAAACTATAATACAATGCACTTTGGCAAAGCCCAAGGACTAGTTTGGAACTAATATACTTTCATTGAATGAATCTTACCAAGGATCTTGATTCAAACCTAATATAACAAATCCCCATCTGTCAATTTATATTTACCTGCTCACCTGGTTGGTAGGGACGATCTGTGGTAAAGACAATTCCCTTTGATGATTTATCATAATCCAAAAATGTTTCCACCTAAACCAGATAAAATGCATCTATTTAGTGTTAACCATTCAGGGGTGAAATAAATTAGGCATATTCTTTGAAATAGACCACATCATACATCACAACTATGGTTCAGCATATCTGCCCATGGAACCAATGCAAACTTATCATCCATTGAAGGTAATCGGACCTGCATGGTACCAAGAAAACAAATTTTACATTTATATATAAATAATGATTTATTTTCACGTACAAAATGGCAAAAGCAAGTCTCAGCAAATTATGTGACTAGTTAAATTTCAGACACAAAGCAAGTCAGGTATGGACCAGATTTTGCAAATGAAGTCATTATTCTCCTCTCAATACTTATAAATTACAGTTTTGAGAAGTGACATATTTGGTCCTGTCATTATTTCAGCATTTATCAAGCTCTGGAGCCCAACTCTCTTTCAAAATCAGCTCTACTAGGACTTCATATTCCACTACAAGCTTGTCAGTTGGAGCAGTATAGACAACGTGTAAAAACCTCTCACTTGGTATTCAAACTTCACTGTTGCAAAAGAAGCATGATTATGATACTGCAGCTACATTAACTCACCAAGCGAGAGAAAAGAATGCCAAATGACCACTTGAAGGTCTCAATGTTGAACACCTGTGAGTTGCACAAATAATTAAATAAGATAAGCACTATATTATAAAAACTAATCATTTGGACTAGCATAATAGTTTCCTACAATTATGTATTCCTGAAAATGGTGAACATTTTGCTCTTGGTAATGCAGAAAGCTAAATAAGCTAGTTAGACCAAGTATCATTTGTTATTTTCGTACAGCTTGATCCTCATTCTTAACACCAAACTAGATACACTGGATAACTAAGCTGTTTAAAAAATAAAGCAGGGAACAAAATAATTTAACGATCAAGATGCAATATCAATTTTACATCAAACAGAAATAAAGAAAGGAAAGGTAATACGAATAATTGTCAGCTTAACCTGGCTTAGAAATTCAAAAAATGGAAGTTGCCTTTTGTCAGGTCAACATTCTACTAACTAGTAAGGAGCAGTATAATCAGGAAGGAAATTATCCCAACGTTATGAAAAGGATGGAACAACCCTTGGTAATTACTAAAATCACTGTTCCACTCGACCAAAATCCTGACAGACACTTCTATCTGTCAGTTTATTTTATGTTCCCCCAAGAAATAAGAGCTTATCATGGTCTAGTGAACCTAACCAGATCCAATGACACATAATTACCTCTTCAGGGAATAAACTAGGATGCTTGGAAAATATTCTGAGCCTCAAATCGTTGTATCTGCAGAAGAAGAAGAAGCATATAGATTAGTAGCAAGACAAAGAATTAGTTATCCAAGGTATAGCATAAAACTATACGTTAGGAATGGAAAAGATAAATGAAAAGGAAGCAAAAAAAAAAAAAAGTTTAGTTTTGAAGAACACTAGGTGCAGCAATCTATCATACGTTCCAATAACATTATTAATCCTTTCAATTGCTCTTTCCCTAATCTGTGAGGCTTCCAAATAACGATCTAGTTCTGCTCGTGACCTGGAATTAGAATGGGAAATATTAAGGGAAGAATTTTGAAGATATGAGAAGACTGAAATTGGAAAGAAATATACATATAAAATTATAAATTCACCCCTGGCATTACATTAAAGTCATCTTTTGAGCAGCGCAATTGAATACTTTACATTGCTAAATGGTCATGTGTTTCACTTTCACTTGAAAGTTTAACATCAGTGGAATTATGGCAAATGACTCTCCCATATACTCAAGTTTATATTCACAGCAAAGATTTTATCCTATAATGATGCTCCACTCATTCTTGAAGAGTTTTGTTCCTCACTTGTTGATTTTCATTACTCTCACCATTTCCTGAGAAGCTTTGAAAATAATTCCAAAGGAGCATTCTTAAAGCACATAATTTACCAGTAAAGAAGTGAATAAGGTTGTCGAGGTAAGGCTGAAACATAACTGCTCCATCTTGAAGATTTCATGAGGCTTGCTTCGCTGATGAGATAAGTTGCAAGCAGTGGCCAGTCTGGCACTGAGTTCCTTTTCAAAATTTTACCAGCTTCTGGGCAGCTCCATTCCTAGTAACCAAACACAGACACACACAAACAGAACTATCAGCACTTGATGCATATGCAGAAGCACATGCCGAGGCACATGTTAATAAGATTAAGAGTACCATTTCCCAGACTAGTAAACAACATTTTCGGGACTAGTTATATGAATATTAAATAACCAAAGAAACCAAAATTCTATTTTCTCATCCATCTTCATTCCAGACACTTCTCATCACAATGCTTATTTTCCAGTCCACTTCTATTTCTTCTTTCTATTTAAACATTTTATCTTATCATTTCATTCAGACGTGTAGGAAACAATCGAAACAATGGAGAAAAAGAAAGAAAGACTTACAGAATCTGCAGTGATGACTAGTGAAGGAGGCACAAAGAGCAATTTCTCTCCCTTCCTTATACTCTTCAAGGCAACAAGTCCTCTCTCCCCAACTTCCACCCTCTCAATGGCCATCTTCTGTGGAGGGAGGCCTGAATCAGACAACCATCTCTGCAGAACCGATGCGTTTTCCAGGGAATCAATCTCGCAGCCCCATGTTATGGTTTCCGTCGCAGCAGTTTTCGTGGCATCACTTGCAGAAACTGAACAGTGAATTTGCGGCTTGCGGGGAATAGTTAGATGACGCTGAATCACTTGAGTTTTCCTCGTCGGACTCAGACTGGGAATGAGGGTAGTGGTGTACAGGGTCCTCGAAGCTTCAGCCATGGCAACGAATTAAGAACCTTATCTGCAGAGTGATAGCAAAACAATCATGGTCGTTCGAGGCTTCGAGCCGTTGCCTCACGCGCCATGTGTGGGGGGCAAGCAAATGACGCCGCATGCCTGTAAGTCCAATTTTTTTCCGATAAATCCGATACTTCAATTTTTTTTAAGAAATAAATTTAATATTATAATATTAAAAAATTAGAAAAATTGCCAATAAACCCTTCTTTTAAAGTTAAAACTGTACTGGAAAATGAAAGAACAAAGAAGCAAGGCCAAGCAGACAGGTTTGGGCTCTGGGATTCCCAAAATTCCAATCCTATCCGTTTTGCACATAGGCTTTTGCTCCTCCGACACAATTTTAATTCAAGGAAGGACGTACTAGCAATTTTATCAAAAAAAAAAAAGAATTAATGCGCCTTTTACAATATCATGGTGAAACAATTTGTTGGAAAAAAATAAGTTCACTGGTAAAATAAAAAAAAAGGCTAAAGTATAAATTATCTTTTAACTTTATACAAAGTTTTATTTTTATCTTTTAATTTTATAAAGTATATTCTTAACATTTTAACTCTAACACTATTAGTTTTATTATAAAAAAATTTTATATTAAATCTTTAAATATTGATAAAATATCATCAAATATTGACATATTATGTTTTTTATAATAATAATAATTGATATAAAAAATTAATTATTTGATATTAACAGTATAGGTTAAGGATAGTAAAAATATTTTATAAAATTAAGAGACTAAATTAAAATATTTTATAAAGTTAGAGAATTAAAAATGTACTTTAACCAAAAATTTATATAACTGATTCTGTGATTAATATTATTTATATAAATAATATTAAATTTTACCTGGGGCTAATTCTTATCAATTTTTTATGAAATAGAATCACGGTGAATATCACACACACACGACATTTTTGTTGGGGGGTGAAGATCGGAGAATGAGCCTTCGTACCGTTTGATAACCCAAGGTTGTCCGATTATGGAGAAAACGATGAAATTCATTTTCTTCAAGTAAGTAGTGCACAAATAAAAAGTGATAATACAGTATCATTAGGATCAAACAAAATATCTCTTCTGAGATTTGGCCCAAAAAACGTTAGCTAAGTTTTGAATAGGATCTTGACTGAGCTTCTTGCTGTGAAGAGGGCTATAGAGATGGCACAGGTATTGTTCCCGCATGAAGTAATCGTGTAAATGGATTGTGCTATTTTGCATAAGGATGCGACTACTCATGATTTTCAATCATGCGCAGGGAATGCCATAATATCCTTCAAGACCTGGCTGAGGCATGTGAATCTTCCACTTCTTTTTCATTTTCTCTTATCTTAAGGAATGGGAATTGTGCTGCGGACTGGATAGCTAATAATCTTTTAAGAAATTTAATATCCTTAAACTCTGTTTGGTTAAGGGGAAGGGAGGGAAGAGGAGGTGAGGAAAGGGGTTCAGGGCTCCCCTCCCAAATTTGAGGAGGAAGTTTTAAAAGGTAAACATTTTTCCTTCCCTCCACCTAATCAAATAAGACTTGTTTGGATGGGACAAGGGGACTCCCCCCAACCAAACAATACCTTAAGAGAATGATAAATAAATTTTAAGAGGATCAATTAATTTAAATTAAATTTTAATTAATTTTAAAGTGTTAAATTTTAAAAATTTATAAATTTAATTTGAAAAAATTAATCTTTTAGTCCTTCAACTTTTAACTCACTTGTAACTCAGTCCCTCAACTATGACTTGCTGTGACTCAGTCCCTCAACTATAATTCGTTGCAACTCAATCCCTCAACTTTTCATTTACCTATAACTCGGTCCTTGTTTTAATTTTTTTTTCAAAATTTTTTTATCAAATAAGAGGGATAAAAAAAATATTCATATATTATTTTAAAATACCCTCTTCTTATTTATTAATGTGAGATATAAACTAACATGAAAAAAAAATAACAAAGGTTAAGGAACTAATTTGTAAGTAATTTAAAAGTTTAGAGACTGATTCAAAGGTGAGTTATAGTTGAGGGACTGAGTTACAGTGAGTCATAGTTGAAGGACTGAGTTACAAGTGATTTAAAAGTTGGAAGATTAAAAGATTAATTTTTTCATTTAATTTTCAATGTTATAACTTCGTTATAATGAATTGTGCTGTGGATTGGATAGCACAATATTTAAAATTTAAAAAATAAATTATAAAATTGAGAGTTGAAATTGTAAATATTTAAAATTTAGCAATTTGAAATTGACTGGGATTTAATTTGAATTACTTGATCTTTTTGGGACCTATCTAATATTTTCCTTGATGTTATCACTACAACCTCCATTAATTATTGTTATTCTCAAAAATTGTGTGCATCAGCCAATTTCCAATATGGATTAATTGTGCAACGAGGCAGACAAAGAATTAGTTAGATGATTGTTATGTTATCTTTTTAGACAATTTTATGTGTTTTAATGTTGTTTGTTACCTTCTATTGTTTTGTTTCGTCGGATGTTTTGATTTTTGTTTCCCTACATGCTGAACTCTTTTCTTTGCCTTGTTAATGATATTTCAATCCTTTTCTAAAAATAAAAAAATTGAGATTTGGATGGTCCAAATAGGGTTTTAAAAGCCCATTGAAAAGTTTAAATACTTGTTTGAATTTCATTCTGCATCTAATAAAAATATATTTAAGAGATCCAGCCATTTCTTAAATTTGACAAAATTACATCATAAATGTAGTTTGAATGTATTTTTAAGAATTATTCATACGGACTCTAAAATAAAGTTTAGATCAAAAGAATAATAAATAAGAGCTTTTGTCCAAAGCCTGTTTACATGAAAGATGAAAATATGAGTTTTTAACCTTAATTGAAAGTTGAGTTGACTTTTAAAGGAAAAAAAAAATACTTAAACATAAATCATATTATAATTGCTGTCTTTTATCTAGCTTAGTTTACAAACCTCAGCTGCTTATAACTTTAACTTTATAACTTGAGTTAGAAATCTTTAATTTATCTCTATTTACAATAAAATTATAAATATAAATTTAATTTATAAAAATCATAAAAAGGTATGTGTGCAATTTGGTGAAGAAATTTTGTTGTTTAAAATTTTAATTCTTATAAATTAATAAATTTTAAATAAAATAATTTATTACTTTCATTTTAATATCTATACGGTAATAAGTTAAAGAGTAGAATAAATTATTATTTATATTTTCTACATACACAAGAGTAACAAATCATAACAAATAATAAGTTGTTCTTAAAATAATGTCTAGTACATATGGCATATTGAGCAATAAATTTTAAAATAAAATATGCTATTCATTTTTAAAAAATATTATGATGATTGTCGGGTTGGGCATCAACCAAGTTGTTGCCCGGCTTTGGGTGCCTTTCAGGTCAGCCGAATTGTAGATTGTTTGAGGTAGATTTGATCCAACCCAATTTCTTATTTTTTTTTTAAATGATGAAAGCAGATTATATTTATCAATAAAAATATAATTATTCTCATTTAAGACACATTTTATATAGAACTAATATTATGATGAAAAATAATATTTTTTTAAATTATATATACTTTTTATCCACTATATTTTTATATATTACTGGGTTAAATTTACTTTGAAATTTTGTAAATGATTAAAAAATAAAATCCTAAAAAATATCAATGATGATTGTGGAAAAAAAGACATTGTATAAAATATGTTAACAACACGATATCATGAAATGATTATTTTCACTAAAAATTAAAAATAAATATGTCTAGGCCAGCATGAGAAGGGTTTAACTTCAGTTTGAAGCTAGGGGCAAAGGAAGGAGGGACCAACAAGGATTACAACACCCCAAATTTTAAATGTTTTTTAATATTATATAAGTGTTACATGTTTTGGGGCCCTTATAATTTATGAAATTTTTATAGTATGCTTCCTTTATTTCTATTTATAAAGTAGAGAGAGAATACTTTTTTTAATCCTATTTATAAGTCATGTCATTAAATTTTTTTTTACCCCCTGTTGAATGTTAGAGAGGAAAAATATATTATTAAAGTGTATATATTTAATAGAAGTAAAGTTGAAAGTTTATTAAATTTTAAAACAGAAACAATGAATTTTAAAATTTTTCTTGATACTAATAGAATATGTTATAAGTGATTTATAAATAGAATTAAAGGAGTATAAGTTTTTTTAATCTCGACCTTTTTATATTTAAATCCTGACTCTTCTCCTGAATGAGTTTAAATTGCTTAGTTTAGATCAAGCATATCAGTTATTAAACTGTTGGTAAAATTTTATTGATCTTTAAAAGAGAGGTTGAATTTAATTTTAACATTTTTTAAGGTCAAACTTGTAAATTTTGTAGCAATGTCTAATTATAATATATACATATATATATAAAGAAAAATGAAATTTTGCATAATGTTACAATCATGGGACTTGTCTTGAATTGTACTCCTTGCGACTAACGAAGAAGCACTCGGTGTTGACTCTTGTTGTAGGCTACTCATTGATTATCACACTTTTGGACATAAGGAAAAAATATCATGTTTTGCTCTTTCACGTGATTATGGAAAAAAACAATCATAAGCAACAATAATAATGGCGACTTTCATGAATGTCTGTCAAATAATAGGAAAGAATTCACACATGGGCAATCAAGTAACATAGTCATGGCATCTCTTTTGCTAAATGAATACGATACTATGTTTTCTATAAAATAATATTTCATTTTGTCATGTGATGAGTTTTTACTACGCATCTTTATTTCATTAACAATTAATAATTAATTTTACTCCAAAAGCAATTAGATTATAGTTTGTTGGTTCCTACAGTCAAATACTACGAGTCATACAGTATAAGAACAGTGCGGCTTTGATATAAATTTTGTGTATATTTATTATTTAGGAAATAAAATTCCAAAATTTCAACTCACATTGCATTTAATTTAAGAAAAGATTATTATCTTAATACCCTCTTTTAAAGTTTCATTGAATTGCTTTTATTAAACTAATAACTATAACTAATGTACATAAAATTAGATGGGCATGAAGTTTGATCAATGAGACAAATTGTCAAACTTATGGCATGTGAACTGTATAATTTATTATCCTAATTTTATTTTTTGA